TGGGGGTCTCTTGGGGATCCTTGGCGGCGTCTTGGGGCCCCCTTGGGCCTCTTGGGAGCTCTTGGGGGCCTCTTTGGGCGGGGTAGTCGAGTGCGCCCCCTTCGGAGGCCACGATCCTCGTGAGGGGTATCGAAAAAAAAGGCTCTCAAAACCATCTCTGAGTAGACCTGCTCGGGCTGCGGTCGGGATACTTTTCGCCGGGGGACCCCCAGGGGCCGCCCCGCGCGCGCGAACCAGAAACATTGTTAACCAATTGCCGGAGATCTTAGCACACCTCTGGCCCGTTGGGCCGGCGATTTTTTATTGCGAAGGCCTGGCGGCTGGTGCCGCCGACCCTGTTCGCAATGCGCAGCAAGAGGCACGGGCTGTGGGATGGTTTTGGGGAACGGGGAGAAGGACGAGAAGGTGGGGGAGGGAGGTGTCGTATCTGACCCGGGACTTCCCCGGGACTCCCCCGGGACCCCCCCCGGGACCCCCTCTCCCTCCCCCGGCGGGGAAGGGAAAGGGAAGGGGCTTCCCTTCGACTCAATTACGACGTTGCTCAAAGTCGGTACGGGGGGGGGGCGTCGTATGTGACCTGGGGGGGGGGTCGCTACCGCCCCCCGCTACCCCCCCCTCGCCTCCCGGCGGGGGAGGGATCAAAGGGAAGGGGCTTCCCTTCGACTCAATTACGAGGAGCACACCTCTGGCCCGTTGGGCCGGCGATTTTTTTTATTTTTCGTCGAAGATCCGCCTGTAGGGGGACAGGCCCGACCAAAGTGTACGTGTATAGTCGGGGCCCTCCTGCCATCCAAAGCCTCTCGGCAGAGATCGGGGCGGCGATGCTTCCCGCGAGCTCGGCGCAGCTTTAAGTCGGGCGCGTCCCTCTACAGGAGGAGTATACAAAAATGGTTGTTGCATTTTATGTTTGATCTTTGTCAGAATTGTTTCCGTCCATTTCTTGAATTTTCTCCCAACATCCACCTGTAGGAGGACATGCCCGACATCAGCGTAGTTGAGGCCCGTTTCGTGCCCAGGGCCGTCAGAGCACGGTTCGGGATGGACTCGGGGGCCCCCGAACGGTGCGGTGACCACACGGCGTGGTGATGTAGGCCTCCTTGATGGGGTCCGAGTACTTGCGGTCAGAGGATCGCATTGCATCGCTGGTGCACTGCCGATGAAGCCGATGCATCGCCGACGTCGCCGATGAATTGCCGATGCATCGGCAGTGCATCGTCGATGCATCGCCGATGCGGCCGCCATCCTCCGATCCCATCTACTCGGACACCATCTGGGAGGCCTCTAGGTGAGTCAGCGGGGATTCGGGGCGGCCGCACGGTGCTGGGACATAGGTCGTTTTCCCAGGATGTCTCGGGCGATTGGGACCTCCAGGTTCCCAGAATTGTGCGGTACTGGACCGTGGGGTGTGCAGTCTGTTGTCACCGTGCGGTGTGGACCGTGCGGCGCGGTGACGGACTCTGCGATGTCGAGGTCACGGCGCAGTTTGTTACTGCACTGACGCGGGATCCCCGATGGAATTCCCCGGGAAGGGGTCGAGGTCCGCGCCGAGGGGGCCCACCGCACTGCGATGGGGGAAGCGCTGCCCCAGCGGCTCCTGACGTCGCAGCAGGCTTCTTGCCGAGGCAAGCTCGCCGCCACATTTGATGATAGGTCTGCCCTCAAGCTCAGGCGATCGCAAACATGGATCAAGGGGGCGTGGAAATCGCGGGTTTCCGCCGCCGAACGAGGCGGCACCGGCCACATTTTGGGGAGAGCACCTCCCCCGATCCATTGATTTGCCGACCGCGCGCCAAATCCATGGATCGCTAATCCATGTTTGCGCGCCCCCGAAGGAGGTTTCTTGCCGAGGCAAGCTCGCCGCCACATTTGATGATAGATCTGCCCTCAAGCTGCCCTGCCCGGACTGCCATGCCCCCCCTCCCAGACATCCGCCGATCCTGTTTTTGTTGGTCAATCCGCGGCGCCAGTGGTCCCGACCGCTTCCCCAGGGGGGCAGCTCTGTCGTCCCGCATCCCTTTCAGATGGTCCTGGGGCCCAGCAGCGGGCCCTGTGAGGCCGAAGCTGAGGACAGCTCGCTGGCGGAAGCGATCCTTCTCGTCGGCGATGTGGTCTTCTGCCTGTGGCAAAGATCAGGAGGGACAAAAAACACACAGACACAATTCATCGTCGACCCCCCAGAAAATATAGGAAAATATGGGAAGTGGGGGGGAAGACAAAAACCCAGAAAATATGGGAAACTATGTGGAATATGTTTTATTTGTGTGTGTGTGTGTGTTAATTTGTGTGTCCCAGGGCCCCTTCAGCAGCACGGGCCGCCAGGCGTCGGGGTTTCTCGGCAGGGGCCCTCGGCGCGAGAGAGACAGCTCGAAGTGCGAGCAGGGCGAGAGCGCGGGCACGGAGTCTCCTCCCCGAGGCTCCCCCGAGGCCGGGGTGGAGTTGTCCATCTCTCGAAGGAAGGGACAAAAACGCTCTCGCCCTTCCTCGTCCTCCCTCGTCCTCTCTCCCTTCTGTCCGCCCTGCCTCGTCAGCCCCGTCATCCCTCTTCGCCCCTCCCGTTCCTCGAGGAAGAAACAACGGCATAATCATAAGCGTTTGGCGCTCCCCACGGATTTCTTGGATTCGCGCTGCCCCCCCCCCCCGGCGGCGCCTCCAGCGCCGCCCCTGGCGCGCTCCGCGCCCCAGGGAGGGGGGGGTCCAGCGCAGATCCAAGAAATCCGCGGGAGCGCCCAAAGTTTGTGTTTATGCCGCTGGTTCTGCTTCTGATCTCCGCCGGCTGGGAAATCTATCTGCCTGGATCCCATGAGGTGGTGGATATGGGTATGTTCGGGCCTCCTCGGGTCCGGATGCATCAAGATCCAACGGTCCCTGGGGGCCCAGGAAGTGGGTTCCCCGGGCGGTGGCTGTGGAGAAAGCTCCGCCTCGCATTCTTCCCTTATACTTCGGAACGACGCAGGGAACGTCAGCACGGCCCCTGCGCAAGGACGGGACGCGCAACGATCCCTGGGGATTAGCACGATCCCTGGAACATTAGCACGACCCCTGGAATATTAGCACGATCCCTGCGTATGCACAAGTTCACTGTCTTGTCTCGCTGCCGCGCGCATCCGTCACCTCGATGATGGGGTCAGCTGGGGGGGCTGGCGAATCTGCAGTCACGTGCAAAACCTACCCCTGGTGGTTCAATCGGCGTTGGGGTATCTCCAGCAGTGGCGAAGCGTTCTGACTCGCCTGCAGGCCCACCAACTAATTGTCTAAACACCTCATGCAATTTGAACACGACATGCTATCAAAGCATGTTTCTGGCTGAGGCAATCTTGGTTTGTTCAATCGGCTACGAGCACATTTGGTGGTAGGCCTATGAGAATGTTGGGACGGTCCGATCTGGCTCGCGTATCGGACACACCCGTTGGAGTTCATTTGGCTGCAGACATCCTTTGAATTCTGAACCCCAGCTGGCAATTCGGGAATCTGACCTGCAGGGGTAGACTTCACATGAGCAACGAAAAAACATCGGGGTCGTCTGCGCCGACATTCGCGCCTAAGCTGCTTGCGTACGGTCGCGCGAAAGCGCCCTCGTCTCCAATGTGGCGCGCCGCGCTGGCGGCCCGCGTAAGCCGCGGCGTAAGGTCGCTACGTCATCTCGCGCAAGACCAGTTTTTGATCCTCGCTCACATGTGGTTGCCCACCGAAGCAAACGGGTCCCGAGGGGAACGGGTCCCGAGGGAGACGGGTTTTGTGGTCTTCGCCCTTGTTGGCCTGCCTGGGCCTTATCCCAGGCCCTGGGGCTGCTCGATCATGGCTCGGGGCGAGCTGGTCTTGGGGAAGGCCCCACGGCCCAGGAGGAAGATGGGGAAGCAGGGTAGAAAGGAGGGGTATGAGACGGATGCGTGGATGGCGAGGAGGAGGAGGAGGCGGAGGAGGCAGACGAGGAGGAGAAGGAGGAAATCGGAGGTGATGGCGAGGATGGCGAGGACGGCGAGGATGGCGAGGATGGCGAGGAGGACGAGGAGGGCGAGGAGGGCGAGGATGGCGAAGACGGCGAGGATGGCGAGGGTGGCGAGGATGGCGAGGCGGAGGAGGTGGAGGAGGTGGAGAAGGAGGAGGCGGCGGAGGAGGAGGAGGAACAATCAGAAACATAATACACATGAGTTCTAAGAAGGATCATGTGAATAAGGAATAATCACAATGGTAATACTTTGCGAGCGAATAACAATACGAATGCAATACCACTAGCAATATTAAGGATAAGAGGAAGAAGAGGAGGATGTCGAGGAGGAGGAGGAGATGAGGAGTAGGAGCAGGAGCAGAAGCAGGAGCAGGAGCAGGAGCAGGCGTAGTAGTAGTAGTAGTAGTAGTAGTAGTAGTTGTAGTAGTAGTAGTAGTAGTAGTAGTGGTAGTACTAGTAGCAGCAGCAGCAGCAGCAGCAGTAGTAGTAGTAGTAGTAGTAGTAGTCGTAGTAGTAGTCGTAGTAGTAGTCGTAGTAGTAGTCGTAGTAGTAGTAGTAGTAGTAGTAGTAGTAGTAGTAGTAGTAGTAGTAGTAGCAGTAGTAGCAGTAGCAGTAGTAGCAGTAGTAGCAGTAGTAGTAGTAGTAGTAGTAGTAGTAGTAGTAGTAGTAGTAGTAGTAGTCGTAGTAGTCGTAGTCGTAGTCGTAGTCGTAGTAGTAGTAGTAGTAGTAGTAGTAGTAGTAGTAGTAGTAGTAGTAGTAGTAGTGGTAGTAGCAGTAGTAGTAGTAGTAGTAGTAGTAGTAGTAGTAGTCGTAGTAGTAGTAGTAGTCGTAGTCGTAGTCGTAGTCGTAGTCGTAGTCGTAGTAGTCGTAGTAGTCGTAGTAGTCGTAGTAGTAGGGGGAGAGGAGGAGGAGGAGGAGGAGGAGGAGGAGGACGAGGAGGAGGAGGGGGAGGAGGAGGAATTGCATGATGGTGGAGGAGGAGGAGGAGGGAAGCAGAGCGAGGGGACGCGGAAGGGGCGGCAGCGGCTGCGGCGTCCCGCCGCGCCTGCGGGAGGCGCTCAAGCCGGTGTACACCCCGAAGTGAGGGCTTGCTCTCACGCCCGCCACTCTTGCTCCTGCGGCCCTTTCCTCCGAGGCGGGAATTTATACATGACCACCGCCAGGAGGATCAATTTTCGGAGCCTCGGCAGGCGGTGGATATGCACAGATTCGGGCCCCCGGGGGCCGAAACACATCCATATCCACCGCCCGCTGGGGCACCAGGACGTCGGTTCCCAGGCGGTGGATATGGATACATCCCCGACTCGCATTTCCTTCCTCTTCCTCCTCCTTTCTCCACCTCCTCCGTCCTCCTCCTCGGTCTCCTCCTCCTCTTCTCCGCTCCACCTCCTCCGTCCTCCTCGGTCTCCTCCGTCCTCCTCGGTCTCCTCCTCCTCCTCGGTCTCCTCCTCGGTCTCCTCCTCCTCCTCCTCGGTCTCCTCCTCTCCACCTCCTCCGTCCTCCTCGGTCTCCTCCTCCTCGGTCTCCTCCTCGGTCTCCTCCTCCGTTCACATTTTGAGTACTACTCCCCTCTCCCCCCTGACCCCGTCCAGAAGATAGCCGATCCTCTCAGCGTGCTGTTTTTACACAGCATTGGGCAACGGTGGTTGTTCCGTCTTCTGTTTTCTGTACAAGGGGACCAGCGGAACAGCAAACTCGTACTGTACGATCGTAACTCCAGGAGTGTTCTCGTGTGTTCGGTTCGTTGTGTTCTGTGAACGTACAGACATGTAATTCGTAAATGGTCGTTAATTTACGAACTCCAGGTGAACGTTTTCTGTGTTTCTAATGGTGCTCCATCTTCAGCGTGGGCCTCAGTTTCGGATCGGCGCTTTGCTCCCGTCGTTCAGAAGGGCACTCTCGCCCCAGCGTGGGCCATTTCTCAGGATCCGAGTGCTTTTTCAGTGCTGTCGCCCCCCTCATTTTCCCCCCTCCTCCGCCTTCCTCTGGTCCTCCTGCTCCTTCCGCTCCTTCCGCTCCTTCCGCTCCAGTTCCTGCCGCTGCCGTTCGTGTCCGCCCTCGTCCTTCCACGGCATCTTTCTCTTCCTCTTGCTCATCCTCCTGCTCACTCGCCACCTCCGCTTCCTATGTGTGCAGCTCCCCTTTTCCGATGTCGCATGACACGATGGAGTTTTGTTGTTGGAATTCGAGGTCGGCTATGGCACGCGTCCGCGGATAGAGCACACACCAGCGCAATGGAAAGTGATGGGAGGGAAATATTGGATGTCAGATGTGGCACGGGCGCGCCTAGCTTGCCTCTCTCCTCTTCCCTATCCTCTCTTTCCTCATCATCTTTCCTCCTCCTCTTTTGCCCCTTCCTCCTCTTCCTCCCCGTGGCGGCAAAAGATGTGGCATCTGCACGCCAGGCTCTCAGTCTCGCCAGGCAGCTCAGAAACCCGCTCCTGGGAGCGCGTCCCTCCTCCCGGCGCTGGTGGCTTCGGAGTTCTGTGCGAAGTCCTCATTCTCGTCCTCCTCATCCTCCTCGTCCTCCTCCTCCTAGCCATGCTCCTCTCCGTCCTCCTCGTCGCCCTCCCGCCCCAGCCCCCTTCTCCGCGGTCGCAGCGCGTGTTCCTGTCTCTTCTGCTGTTCCTTCCTCCCCTACCCTTCAGGCCAGAGACGCGGCAACAAGAACTGCAGTCGCACCGTCTTCAGCGGGGCTGCGCAAACACTGTCTCCCATCGATATAGGCCCCAACTGGGTCACCACGCAAACACACACACACACACACGCACGCACGCACGCACGCACGCACGCACGCACGCACGCACGCACGCACGCACGCACGCACGCACGCACACACGCACACACGCACACACGCACACACGCACACACGCACACACGCACACACGCACACACGCACACACGCACACACGCACACACGCACACACGCACACACGCACACACGCACACACGCACACACGCACACACGCACACACGCACACACGCACACACGCACACACGCACACACGCACACGCACACACGCACACACGCACACACGCACACACGCACACACGCACACACGCACACACGCACACACGCACACACGCACACACGCACACACGCACACACGCACACACGCACACACGCACACACGCACACACGCACACACGCACACACGCACACGCGCACACGCGCACACGCGCACACGCGCACACGCGCACACGCGCACACGCGCACACGCGCACACGCGCACACGCGCACACGCGCACACGCGCACACGCGCACACGCGCACACACGCACACACGCGCACGCACACGCGCACACGCGCACACGCGCACACGCGCACACGCGCACACGCGCGCACGCGCGCACGCGCACACGCGCGCACGCACCACGCACGCACGCACGCACGCGCGCGCGCACTCGCGCGCGCACGCGCACGCGCACGCGCACGCGCACGCGCACGCGCACGCGCACGCGCACGCGCGCACGCGCACGCGCACGCGCACGCACACGCACACGCACACGCACATACGCACGCACACGCACACGCACACGCACACGCACGCACACGCACACGCACACGCACACGCACACGCACACGCACACGCATTCGCACGCACACGCACACGCACACGCACACGCACACGCACACGCACACGCACGCACGCAACGCGCACGCGCACGCGCACGCACGCACGCACACGCACGCACGCGCACGCGCACGCGCACGCGCACGCGCACGCGCACGCGCACTCGCACGCACTCGCACACGCACACGCTCACGCACACGCACGCGCACACGGACACACACACAGACACGCACACGTTCACGAACACACGCAAACACGCACATACGCACGCACACGCGCACGCACTTGCACACGCACACGAACACGCGCACGCACACGAACACGCAGACGCACACGCACACGCACACACGCGCACACGCATTCGCACAGGCACGCGCACACGCGCACGCACAGACGCACACGCACACGCACACGCACACGCACACGCCCACACACACACATACACACACGCACGCACACACGCACACGCACACACGCACTCGCACGCGCATGCACGCACGCACACACCCACACACAGCACACAATACACACAACACGCACAACACACAGACAAACACACACAAAGACAAACACACACACACACACACCTCACACCACACACGCACACCACACACACCCATATATTTCCCCCACACACACCCACACACTCCCCACACACACACAACACACGACACACAACACACGACACACAACACACAACACACACAACACACAAGATACACACCACACACAACACACAAAACACACAACACACACAAACGCGTTGTGCGTCGGCGGTTGGGCAGAGGGCGACTCCTCCGGCGGATGGGCAACAGGGGACACGCTATATGCAAGTTAAGGCCGCAACGCAAGGAGGAGGAGGAGGAGGAGGAGGAGGAGGAGGAGGAGGGGCCCCGGCGCGACAGGGGGAGAGGAAGCCAGGCCCAGTCAGAACCAACGCCGGCGCTGAGCTGCACTGAGCTGCACTGAGCTGAAGCTGGGGGGAAAGCAGCCCAGCAGACTGGGCGGCCAGTGGGGGAGCAACACGAGCGAATCAGAGACTCGACCCAGCGAGCCGGTAGGCGTGGCCCCCTAGGCAAGAGCCATGGCGCCGAGACCCAGGAACCTACGCGGCGCGGCGGGAGGCGAGAGGCAGAAGCGGCCAGGCACGAGAGCGCCCGAACGGGCGCCACCGTGGTGAGCAGCTGGGCGGGCGACCCCGACGCGGAGCCACCCCGGGCGAGCGGCGGGGAGCAGAGCCCGCCAGTGGAAGGCGGGCGAGCAGACCGCAGGGCGAGCAGAGCGCCGAGACCAAGGGGGCCTGCGAGGCGCAGGGCGTGGAGGCGAGCGATGACGGCCCGGCCATGCGCCAACGGCACCGAGAGCGAGCCGGTGGGCGGGAAAAAGGAGGAGGGGCCACGCCAAATGGGGGAGCGGCGGGCCTACGAGGATCGGGCAGGGCGAGCGCCGAGATCAAAGGGCCTACGAGGCGCAGGCCAACGGCGGGGCAAGGTGCCACGGATGAGCGGCAGCACCCAGAACACCAGTAGCCGGTGTCTGGATGGGAGGCCTGAAAACCACGCGTAGCACACGCACACGCACACGCACACGCACACGCGAATGTGCACGCACACGCGAACGTGCACGCACACGCACACGCACACACGCACACACGCACACACGCACACACGTACGCACACGCGCACGCATTCGCGCGCACGCACACGCCCACGCACATGCACACGCACACGCACACGCGCACGCGCACGCGCACGCACACGCACACGCAGACGCAAACGCACACGCACACGCAGACGCACACGCACAGGCACACGCACACGCACACGCACGCGCACACGCTCACGCACACGCACACACGCACACGCACACGCACATGCACACGCACACGCACGCACACGCACACGCACACGCACACGCACACAATCTATCACTCGCACACGCACACGCACACGCACACGCACACGCGCACGCGCACGCGCACGCGCACACGCACGCGCATGCGTGCGCTCACGCGCACGCGCACGCTCACGCGCGCACGCACGCACGCGCACGCGCACGCGCACGCGGGCACGCACTCATGCACACACGCGCACGCGCACGCACACGCACACGCGCACACACGCACACACGCACACGCGCACGCACGTGCACACGCACGCACACGCGCACGCGCACGCACACGCGCACGCGCACGTGCACCCGCACCCGCACATTCACACGCACACGCACGCGCACGCGCACACGCACACGCACACGCACACGCACACGCACACGCACACGCACGTTCGCACATTCGCACATACGCACATACGCACACGTACACGTACACGCACACGCGCACGCACACGCACACGCACACGCACAGACAACACACACACAACACACAACGCACACAACAGAACACACACACACACACACACACACACAACACACACCACACACAACAAACACCCCAAACACAACACACACACATGATGTACGCACACACCGCCACGTCCGGACGGTGCGCG